CAGTCTCGTTGTATATTTAAATGACCGAGTCCCTTGTCCACCGACTTTCGAAGAAAGTCATTGAAGAAGAGAGCAGGGGGGGTGAGGAGGAAGGATGAGAGTAAGAGGGAGAGAGTGTTATATGAGTGGGGGATTGGGTGAGTGGATGAGAATTAGGATATGAGAGAGAAAATAAGAGAGAGAGAATTAAGGATAGAGAGAGAGAATTAGAGTGAGAGAGAGAATTAGAGTAAGAGAGAGAGAAGTGGGAAAGAGAGAGAAGGAGAGTGAGTGAGAGAGAGAGAATGATGAGAGAGAGGAGAATTAGGTAGAGAGAGAGTGAGGAGAGAGAGAGAGAGAAGAGAGTGGAGAGAGAGAATTAGAGTGAGAAGAGAGAATTAGAGTGAAGAGAGTGAGTGAGTGAGTGAGTGAGTGAGTGAGTGATTGGGTGAGTGAGTGAGTGAGTGAGTGAGTGAGTGAGTGAGTGAGTGAGTGAGTGAGTGAGTGAGTGAGTGAGTGAGTGAGTGAGTGAGTGAGTGAGTGAGTGAGTGATTGGGTGAGTGAGTGAGTGAGTGAGTGAGAGAGAGAGATAGAGAATTAGAGTGATAGAGAGAGAGAATTATAGTGAGAGAGAGAGAGATAATTAGAGTGAGAGATAGAATTAGAGTGAGAGAGAGATATTAGAGTGAGAGAGATAGAGAATTAGAGTGATAGAGAGAGAATTAGATTGAGAGAGAGAGAATTAGAGTGAGAGAGAGAATTAGATTGAGAGAGAGAGAATTAGCGTGAGAGAGAGAGAATTAGAGTGCGAGAGAGAATTAGATTGAGAGAGAGAGAGAATTAGGAGTGAGAGAGAGAGGAGAGAGAGAGAGAGAGGATTAGAGTGAGAGAAGAGAATTAGAGTGAGAGAGGAGAATTAGAGTGAGAGAGAGAGAGAATTAGAGTGAGAGAGAGTGAGAGAATTAGAGTGAGTGAGTAGAGAGAGAATTAGAGTGAGAGAGAGAGAGAATTAGAGTGAGAGAGAGAGAGAATTAGAGTGAGAGAGAGAATTAGAGTGAGAGAGAGAGAGAATTAGAGTGAGAGAGAGAGAGAATTAGAGTGAGAGAGAGAGATGAGTGAGAGAGAGAGAATTAGAGTGAGAGAGAGAGAGAATTAGAGTGAGAGAGAGAGAGAATTAGAGTGAGAGAGAGAGAATTAGAGTGAGAGAGAGAGAATTAGAGTGAGAGAGAGAGAGAATTAGAGTGAGAGAGAGAGAGAATTAGAGTGAGAGAGAGAGAGAATTAGAGTGAGAGAGAGAGAATTAGAGTGAGAGAGAGAGAGAATTAGAGTGAGAGAGAGAGAGAATTAGAGTGAGAGAGAGAATTAGAGTGAGAGAGAGAGAGAATTAGAGTGAGAGAGAGAGAGAATTAGAGTGAGAGAGAGAGAGAATTAGAGTGAGAGAGAGAGAGAATTAGAGTGAGAGAGAGAGAATTAGAGTGAGAGAGAGAGAATTAGAGTGAGAGAGAGAGAATTAGAGTGAGAGAGAGAGAGAATTAGAGTGAGAGAGAGAGAGAATTAGAGTGAGAGAGAGAGAGAATTAGAGTGAGAGAGAGAGAGAATTAGAGTGAGAGAGAGAGAATTAGAGTGAGAGAGAGAGAGAATTAGAGTGAGAGAGAGAATTAGAGTGAGAGAGAGAATTAGAGTGAGAGAGAGAGAATTAGAGTGAGAGAGAGAGAATTAGAGTGAGAGAGAGAGAGAATTAGTGTGAGTGAGTGAGAGAATTAGTGTGAGTGAGTGAGTGAGAGAATTAGAGTGAGTGAGTGAGGGAATTAGAGTGAGTGAGTGAGTGATAGAGTGAGTGAGTGAGTGAGAGAATTAGAGTGAGTGAGAGAGAGAGAGAATTAGAGTGAGAGAGAGAGAGGAGATAATTAGAGTGAGAGAGAGAGAGAATTAGAGTGAGAGAGAGAATTAGAGTGAGAGAGAGAGAATTAGAGTGAGAGAGAGAGAGAATTAGAGTGAGAGAGAGAGAGAGATAATTAGAGTGAGAGAGAGAGATAATTAGAGTGAGAGAGAGAATTAGAGTGAGAGAGAGAGAATTAGAGTGAGAGAGAGAGAGAATTAGAGTGAGAGAGAGAGAATTAGAGTGAGAGAGAGAGAATTAGAGTGAGAGAGAGAGAATTAGAGTGAGAGAGAGAGAGAATTAGAGTGAGAGAGAGAGAGAATTAGAGTGAGAGAGAGAGAGAATTAGAGTGAGAGAGAGAGAGAATTAGAGTGAGAGAGAGAGAGAATTAGAGTGAGAGAGAGAGAGAATTAGAGTGAGAGAGAGAGAGAATTAGAGTGAGAGAGAGAGAGAATTAGAGTGAGAGAGAGAGAATTAGAGTGAGAGAGAGAGAATTAGAGTGAGAGAGAGAGAATTAGAGTGAGAGAGAGAGAGAATTAGAGTGAGAGAGAGAGAGAATTAGAGTGAGAGAGAGAGAGAATTAGAGTGAGAGAGAGAGAGAATTAGAGTGAGAGAGAGAGAGAATTAGAGTGAGAGAGAGAGAGAATTAGAGTGAGAGAGAGAGAGAGAGAGAATTAGAATGAGAGAGAGAGAGAATTAGAGTGAGAGAGAGAGAGAATTAGAGTGAGAGAGAGAGAATTAGAGTGAGAGAGAGAGAATTAGAGTGAGAGAGAGAGAGAATTAGAGTGAGAGAGAGAGAATTAGAGTGAGAGAGAGAGAGAATTAGAGTGAGAGAGAGAGAATTAGAGTGAGAGAGAGAGAGAATTAGAGTGAGAGAGAGAGAGAATTAGAGTGAGAGAGAGAGAATTAGAGTGAGAGAGAGAGAATTAGAGTGAGAGAGAGAGAATTAGAGTGAGAGAGAGAGAGAGAGAATTAGAGTGAGAGAGAGAGAGAGAGAATTAGAGTGAGAGAGAGAGAGAATTAGAGTGAGAGAGAGAATTAGAGTGAGAGAGAGAGAATTAGAGTGAGAGAGAGAGAGAATTAGAGTGAGAGAGAGAGAATTAGAGTGAGAGAGAGAGAATTAGAGTGAGAGAGAGAGAGAATTAGAGTGAGAGAGAGAGAGAATTAGAGTGAGAGAGAGAGAGAATTAGAGTGAGAGAGAGAGAATTAGAGTGAGAGAGAGAGAATTAGAGTGAGAGAGAGAGAATTAGAGTGAGAGAGAGAGAATTAGAGTGAGAGAGAGAGAGAATTAGAGTGAGAGAGAGAGAGAATTAGAGTGAGAGAGAGAGAGAATTAGAGTGAGAGAGAGAGAGAATTAGAGTGAGAGAGAGAGAATTAGAGTGAGAGAGAGAGAATTAGAGTGAGAGAGAGAGAGAATTAGAGTGAGAGAGAGAGAGAATTAGAGAGAGAGAGAGAGAATTAGAGTGAGAGAGAGAGAGAATTAGAGTGAGAGAGAGAGAATTAGAGTGAGAGAGAGAGAATTAGAGTGAGAGAGAGAGAATTAGAGTGAGAGAGAGAGAGAATTAGAGTGAGAGAGAGAGAGAATTAGAGTGAGAGAGAGAATTAGAGTGAGAGAGAGAGAATTAGAGTGAGAGAGAGAGAGAGAGAGAATTAGAGTGAGAGAGAGAGAGAGAGAGAATTAGAGTGAGAGAGAGAGAGAATTAGAGTGAGAGAGAGAGATAATTAGAGTGAGAGAGAGAGAGAGAGAGAATTAGAGTGAGAGAGAGAGAGAGAGAGAGAATTAGAGTGAGAGAGAGAGAGAGAGAATTAGAGTGAGAGAGAGAGAGAATTAGAGTGAGAGAGAGAGAGAGAGAATTAGAGTGAGAGAGAGAGAGAGAGAATTAGAGTGAGAGAGAGAGAGAATTAGAGTGAGAGAGAGAGAGAGAGAATTAGAGTGAGAGAGAGAGAGAGAGAATTAGAGTGAGAGAGAGAGAGAGAGAATTAGAGTGAGAGAGAGAGAGAATTAGAGTGAGAGAGAGAGAGAGAGAGAATTAGAGTGAGAGAGAGAGAGAGAGAGAATTAGAGTGAGAGAGAGAGAGAATTAGAGTGAGAGAGAGAGAGAGAATTAGAGTGAGAGAGAGAGAGAGAGAATTAGAGTGAGAGAGAGAGAGAGAGAGAATTAGAGTGAGAGAGAGAGAGAATTAGAGTGAGAGAGAGAGATAATTAGAGTGAGAGAGAGAGAGAGAGAGAGAATTAGAGTGAGAGAGAGAGAGAGAGAATTAGAGTGAGAGAGAGAGAGAGAGAATTAGAGTGAGAGAGAGAGAGAATTAGAGTGAGAGAGAGAGAGAATTAGAGTGAGAGAAAGAGAGAATTAGAGTGAGAGAAAGAGAGAGAGAGAGAGAGAGAGAGAGAGAGAGAGAGAATTAGAGTGAGAGAGAGAGAGAGAGAGAATTAGAGTGAGAGAGAGAGAGAGAGAGAATTAGAGTGAGAGAGAGAGAGAGAGAGAATTAGAGTGAGAGAGAGAGAATTAGAGTGAGAGAGAGAGAGAATTAGAGTGAGAGAGAGAGAGATAATTAGAGTGAGAGAGAGAATTAGAGTGAGAGAGAGAGAGAATTAGAGTGAGAGAAAGAGAGAGAGAGAGAGAGAGAGAGAGAGAGAATTAGAGTGAGAGAGAGAGAGAGAGAGAATTAGAGTGAGAGAGAGAGAGAGAGAGAATTAGAGTGAGAGAGAGAGAGAGAGAATTAGAGTGAGAGAGAGAGAGAGAGAATTAGAGTGAGAGAGAGAATTAGAGTGAGAGAGAGAGAGAGAGAGAGAATTAGAGTGAGAGAGAGAATTAGAGAGAGAGAGAGAATTAGAGTGAGAGAGAGAATTAGAGTGAGAGAGAGAGAGAGAGAGAATTAGAGTGAGAGAGAGAATTAGAGAGAGAGAGAGAGAGAGAGAATTAGAGAGAGTGAATGAGTGAGAGAGAGTGAGTGAACGAGTTAGTGAGAGAGTGTGGGTGAGTGAAAGAGAAATACAGATAGACCAACATAAAAAGAGAGAACTCAGGAGGCAGAAAGCCCATGTGAGTGCATGCGAGCATTAATATGAAATATTTCTTGGCCATCTATGATTCACGCTGTGCCATGAATTTAACGTTTTTCTTTCTCCGTTTCCCCTGCAGCATGGACGGAGCGGACCTCTGCTTCGAAATCGTCAAGCGAGCGATGTCGGGCTTCGTCTACAGTGAGGCTGTGGCCAG